TCACCCTTCCCTAGCAAGGAATTTTGTATTGAATTGTACTTGCATGAAGATTAAAAATATAATGCTTTAGTGAAGTGCTATTGTTTTGTGATGTAGCTTATTTGTATGTTTTCTTATTTCCTTGTTTATTAATTTTGTATTAGTGTTGGGTCAGATAGTGCTACTTAATAATTTTTACAATTTCATTACATTTTAGAAAAAAATTTATTTAGTTACAAGTAGTAGATTTTAGCATGAAATTGTGTATTTGCACGTTACACAGTCATTATATTATTTATGTGTAATTTAAATGTAGTGTCATTCTCAAATTCTTCTGTTAAGGTTAAAATTGCAAATTATTTGCATCTACTTGCCAATTATTTTTTATAATGTTTTTCAATATAAAATGGTACCTATTTGGTGAATAAGTGACAATACATTTAGAAACTTCTTCTCTCGTAAGGAACACATCTTCTTGGATTTTCATCTCTTTGAGGTTGTGTAATAATTTTTTTTAATAGCATGCATTTTTTTCTTTTTAATTTTAACATTCATAATATCAATGACAAGACTGTACTTTGTATACTTTAAAAAGTAATTGAAATGCCTTTGTATGTGTTCAATAATTACTCGTAAATATGAATGGGTATTTAGCTAGAATAATTTTTTAATACTGAGATGTGTGTCATTGGAGTTTCCCCCAAAAATGGATATTGTGTTCAGTATTACATGGTAATCTTACAATTAATGTTGCACTTTGCAGGCTGTAGAAAACTAACATTTTACAATGACTTTCTGGTGATGTTTCACTTCATGTTTTTAAAATAGCCAATTCATCATTAGAATTGGTAGTGCTCCGTGTATGTTAGCAGGACATTATTTTGTTCTTAAAAACATATCAAATATATATTTTTAATAAGTTATCAGTAACCTAAATATTATAAAGTTTAAGTTTTGGGGATAAGAGGATTATTTTTAACATCAAATAATATTGTTTCTAATTTGACGTGTTCATAGTCTATACCAGGCCTGCACAGCATTTTGCACTTTGTCTGACCTCGAGAGTCACACGCAAGCCATTCGAGTGCAAATGCACAGAAATTTGAAGGGTGGCAATGAGGCATATTCTAAAATCGGGGACCACCAATTAGAATGTGCAATTCAAACCATAGCGTGTAAATTGAAAGAGCAATCGACGAGAACATGACGGTCACATACATTTCAAGTAATATTGCCTTTTTGTATTATATTGAAAATAGTTGTTGTCGATATATGACAATGTGAAATATGAAATTACAATGGATTATACATATTTGATATGGACATCAAATATTTTAATTGCTGATAATATAATTCACTTTGCTACGATGTAATCCAAATCTAGTGTTTTGCTAAACACAAATTATGATACTGAATTGTTTTGTTTGATGATGACAGCAATAAACAGATTTTTCATTAACTATGTTTAATTGAATAAGATGGTTCTCTCAAAACTAGAATATTATTCTTAAAAAAAATCATGATAATTTTCTTCTCTAATTTCTGGCAAGAGTACATTATATGTTTCTAATATCAAATCAACGAACACAATTCATTCATCATTTATGACCCAGTATAAAAATATTAAGCCCTTTGCATTCTATTTAACAAAACACATTCTGATCTCAAGTTTAACTGTAATATATCATCAGAGAGATTTGCTCGTTGATATCTTTTATTCAGACTCATGATGGGGAAATTCATCACAAATATATGTGCTGCTAAACATTACCCTTCTTGCAATTAACTATATTTCATTTTTATGTCAATCTTGATGTGAAAGATTGCTCTCATAATTTTCTTCATTTTTCTATCATTTGGAGATTATACCATTCTTGATGAACTATCAATTATTAAAATGTTAATTTTTGTTAGTTAGAATAAAATAATAAAGTTTTAAAAAGGCCACTGCTTTAAAATATTGTTAAAGAGTTATAATGATCATCAACTAAAAAAAATACACACAGTTTTGGATACAATGGTGGGTACGCAACAGTGTACAGAAAATTGTAAACAGTGAATTATGACCCTTGTAGCTTCCATTTAACATCATCCATTTAAATAAGTGGGAAATAATTTTAGAGCATTAGAAGCCCAGGCATTCAATGTACGTACCACGTCTTACAACATCAGTCTTCTCACCCTGCAAAGCTTCCTATCCCTACTACTTGCACTTTCGGCGCTCTCTTGGGCAGACAATCGGCTCGTAAGTGCAGAATGCCCTTGGGAGCAGGCGGTGTGCAGGCCTGGTCCATACCAACTTTGTAAATTACCCTTGTCTAATCTTTAAAAAATCATTATTCTAGTGCTTCATTTCTACTAATAATTATTTGTTTGTGAGTTTCATGTGCTGCACATAACTATTTTCAGTACGTTGGACATTACATAGTTTTATAGAGCATATTATGTGTTTACAGTGTTTGATATGTTGCAGAAAAGCACTAACATTATCATTTTGTAACAGTACTAATAACAATTGAGCCCTTGAACCAAAAAAATAATGTTTACTTTGTTTTCTCTAACCACATGAAATACTGAAGTAGTAAATCTTGTTTATAAAATATTATTGAAAGAATAATCAAACATGTTTAATAAGAAACATTCATTTTCATGTAGAAATAAATTAATTCAGTTTATACTTCATGCAGCTGTTTAAATATTAATTTTTAGAATTTTCAGCAATCCTTTTGTTCAGTATGAGAAAATTATTTTGGAGATTGAAAAGAATACTTATGTACAGCAATACTTATGTGCATTCTTGTGTTCTCCATAGTTAAGTTTTTTCTCAAGAAAATAATATTTTTAGCATTAAAGTCACAAATGTCAAGAAAACGTGCTTTTAAAATCCAGGTAGAGTTGTAAGTTTATACGTTTATTGTTTCCATGTTGTTGTTGTTTTTTTTATGGAAAAAGATGTTGTTACTCTTGTCAAGTGTGATGTACAAACATGAATGTATGGATATGACACTAATTGGTGAAGTTATGTGTTACAATTTATTTATATTCTCCTTCAGAATTTTGTTTTCACATCAGATTAATGTTGATACCTTATAACGTTATGTGTGTATCTGACCAATCCTTACAACTTTTGCATTACAGTAGTCTTAGTTATAGAACACTTCATTAAAGTATTAATTAATGTATACCTTTTATTTTTAGATTTAGCCCAATGAGTATATTTAATTTAATGGTTCTGCTTATTTTTAAGAAGCAATCTCTCAGATGCAATGAACATACCATTTTTTTCAGATTCAGATTTCAGCATTAATTAATGTGATTAAGTCATCATTTTATATGTTATTGACTGGTAGAGATGTAATGGGATGAAGGAGTATGAAAAGTTTTAGAAGAGTATTTGTGAAGACTATTTAACTACATAAAAGTTAATCACTATTTGAATCAATTAGTTTCAAAGATCAGATATAGAAGGATTTCTATATTTAAATCTTCATTTATAACATGATGATAATTACAAATATTTATTATTTGCATAAACAGTATTGTGAAGATTAATCAACACATGAATTCTCTTTATCTTAGCCAACATTCACTAGATAAAATGTTTGATTTAGTATGTAAACTCAAAAATGTAATGAAAGAAATGCAATGTTCGTGGAAAAGTTATGAATTGTTTTAGACCAATGCCAATGCGGCATCCACATAGCAATGAGCATTTAGGCCATACCTTTCAGCTCAAGCTCAGTGATTGGGGAATTGGCAGGTTTGATCCCTACCAGGTTGAAAAAAATTGGTCTAATAAGTTTATTTATTACTATCCCAAATTGAAGTAGAACACAGCTGGTGCCCTATTATTTGAATAGGGAAAGTTCCATTCCAGATCCTCCACATTGGCTTCAGAAAAGGGCATTATGAAAAAGTTAGGCAACCCACCAAACACGTCAGCAAATTTTCCAAGAGCTTTGATGCTTCCCACAGTTCTCAATGCACATAGCACATCTGTTCCAGACAGTTGGGATGAATTAAATTAAACCAAGATTGCCTATAATGCACACGCAACTTGCTAAAGGGGCTTTCTTTGTATAGTTGCAAAAAACGTTAAACTATTTTCAATTTGGCAAAAAAATAGTTTATATAATTTGTTTTAATTAAAAATAAGATATATTAGCATCATTTTAGAAAATGTACCGTTGTTTTCTACAAATGCCGATTATTCGTTTTTTGTTAAAATTGTGCATATAAAAAACATTAAAACCAGATGTGCAACTGGCATGTGGATATTTTTCTGGCAGTTTAAGTTTCATTATATTTCAAAATATGTAAATGTTTCATTTATTTCTTTGGAACCATACTTAAGTTAAGACCCTTGAATATCAAATCGTCAGTTTTACAACTTCCGATATTTTGTTTATTACCCGTAAATATTTTAGTGATCATAAAATAAGTATTAAAATTTCAACTTGCTGGGATTTGAACATTTTAAACGTTTTCTTATCACCCGCATACATACTATGTACATTTAAGTTAGAGAAAAGGGAATTAATATCTGCAGTCTGGGATGAGGAGGGCCTAAACATGTATACAATTGCTCCATAATTATACCTATAAAAATAATGTAGACTTATTTTAGTTAAGGAAGTTTGGAACAATCTGATTCCTTGTGAAATGTTTATTTTCGAGAGAACTAGGCTATTTTGTTGCTTTCGACCACAGAAATCAAATGCTCAGATATGATTATAATTAGTAAAGTTGCCCTTTTCAGACTTTTGGAATATAATGAAACCTAAATTGTAAGAATACCTCCATACGAATGGTCTTCACCACTGTCCGATTGTAAGCATTTTACATTTCTTCCCTTCTGAATTTTGATGAGAGTACTTAGTGATGGCTTTAAACACAACTCTTTTGGAGTTTAAAAATCTGACCAGCTACATTTGGATCTATTGTCTATAAATTCAACAAATACCTTGCCCCTGCCAAGGATACAGTCCTCCTAGCTCTGTAAACGTCTGTGTGAATCACCTCTAGAGCTTTGTTTGCCGATATGACTTTTCAGGAAATGGACTTCTTCTTCTTCTTCTTCTTCTTCTTCTTCTTCTTCTTCTTCTTCTTCTTCTTCTTCTTCTTTCTCCTTCTCTATCTCCTTCTCCTTCTCCTTCTCCTTCTCCCTTCTCCTTCTCCTTCTCCTTCTCCTTCTCCTTCTCCTTCTCCTTCTCCTTCTCCTTCTCCTTCTCCTTCTCCTCTCCTTCTCCTTCTCCTTTCTCCTTCTCCTTCTCCTTCTCTTCTCCTTCTCCTTCTCCTTCTACCTTCTCCTTCTCCTTCTCCTTTTCTCCTTCTCCTTCTCTTCTCCTCTCCTTCTCCTTCTCCTTCTTCCTTTCTCCTTCTCCTTCTCCACTTCTCCTTCTCCTTCTCCGTTCCTTCTCCCTTTCTCCTTCTCCTTCTCCTTCTCTTCTCCTTCTCCTTCTCCTTCTCCTTCTCCTTTCCTTCTCCTTCTCCTTCTCCTCTCCTTCTCCTTCTCCTTCTCCTTCTCCTTCTCCTTCTCCTTCTCCTTCTCCTTTCTCCTTCTTCCTTCTCCTTCTCCTTCTCCTTTCTCCTTCTCCTTCTCCTTCTCCTTCTCCTTCTCCTTCTCCTTCTCCTTCTCCTTCTCCTTCTCCTTCTCCTTCTCCTTTCTCCTTCTCCTTCTCCTTCTCTTCTCCTTCTCCTTCTCCTTCTCCTTCTCCCTTCTCCTTCTCCTCTCCTCTCCTTCTCCTTCTCCTTCTCCTTCTCCTCTCCTTCTCCTTCTCCTTCTCCTTCTCCTTCTCCTTCCTCCTTCTCCTTCTCCTTCTCCTTCTCCTTCTCCTTCCTCTCCTCTCTCCTTCTCCTTCTCCTTCTCCTTCTCCTTTCCTTCTACCTTCTCCTTCTCCTTCTCCTCTCCTTCCCTTCTCCTTCTCCTTCCCTTCTCCTTCTCCTTCCCTCTTCTCCTTCCCTTCTCCTTCCCTTCTCTCTCTCCTTCTCCTTCTCCTTTCTCCTTCTCCTTCTCCTTCTTCCTTCTCCCTTCCTTCCTTCTTCCTTCTCCTTCTTCCTTCTCCTTTCCTTTCTCTCTCCTTCTCCTTCTCTTCTTCCTTCTCCTTCTCCTTCTCCTTCTCCTTCTCCTCCCTCTTCTCTCTTTCTTTTTCCTCTCTCCTTCTTTCTCCTTTCTTCCCCCTTCTCCTCCCTTCTCCTCTCTCCTCTCCTTCCTTCTTCTTTCTTCTCTCTTCTTCTCTTCTTCTCTTCTCTTTTCTTTTCTTCTCTTTCTCTTCCTTCTCTCTTCTCTCTTCTCCTCTTCTTCTCTTCTTCTCTCTTCTTTTCTTCGGTTTCTACCCTTAGGACTTTGCTGTTTCGAGTTCCATAATTTCGTCCTCCGCATTGACCCTCTTCCAACCTTTCTCCTCCATTACTCTGTATATATGTCGTTTCCAGGTAAACCAGGTCTAACCTCTCTTAACGTCTACTTTCAGGTATTCCAATTTAAAATTTGTTTGGCCATCTCTCATTTCGCATCCTCCTAACATGACCTCACCATTGAAGAGCTTATTTCTAGTCTTTCTGGTTATGTGTTGAAACCCACTCTTCCACACCCACTCGTTCTCTATTTTATCCAGTCTTGTTATCTGAAAGATCTTCCTCATAAAGTCGAGCTCAACGACCGTATTCTGTCTCACAAGCGTTTGTTAACGGCCACATTTCTGCTCCATATAATAAATAATGCGTTCACAATACTGTGATATTGTCGTTTTGTGTCTTGCCTTAAAACACTATTCCATATTCAGCCATGCAGAGCTTTGATGCATTCCTCCCCATTGCAAGTCTCGTAGTTTATATCTCATCATTTCTCATCGTCAGTAATTACATCCCAGATATTTAAATTCGAAAAACATAGCTATCTTCGTCATCAAGCACTACGTCTATATTAGAGACATCTCCTCCTATGCATTAAATATTCTGTCTTTTAAGGTTGATTTTTAAGCCCCATTTTGTCTTATTCTTCTTTTAATTTTGCGAAGCATATACTCCATATCTTCCCGATCTGCTGCCATAATTACCTGATCATCTGCAAAAAGCAAAGAATGTAAGCACTTTTCTGTCATTTATGGGAACTCCCATTTGAGAACATTCTTGTGCCAGGTTTCCAAAGCTTAATTCCATTTCTTTGGAAATGGACTTCTCGTCATTTTTTCTTGAAGGTGAATGCCCCACTGGTGTTAGCTAATTGCATTTCCACAATTTCTACCACTACTTTTCTAAAAGGATTTTGTGTCACGGTACTATCTTTCCAGAAGAGATTGAAAAATTAATAGAAAATACCCAATCTTATTTTCGGCTTTGCTCAATAAATGTCAGATTTATTCGAAGCATTGGAGTCATGGCTACGTTGGAGGGTATACGGTAGGTTAACATAAATACCATTATATAAAAATGAGTACACATCCATATTCTAATTGATTTTTACATGCATTACAATACAAAATGTACTTGTTTTTGGAAACTGTAAGTAATATTCATTTTTTGTATTAAAATAGGTGATAATTAATTAGCAATAAATGTTCGTGTTATTTCTGTCTAGTTACAGATTGAATATAATCAATGAGTGTGCTGGCCAGCACACTTGCTTTTACGTAGATAAGGAGATGATTAGGTCTAAGTTATGGCAATTAATGGGCAATTTGTTGTCGCGCCCTTTCCTTTATAATTCTGACAAATGCTCAGTATTGACTATAATATACAAAGAGTTAAAAGAAGAAGATATGACTATTTTTCTTGTATTGATTCATAATACACTCGCATCAATTTGAGTAGTCTTTCACAATTAAAATCCTGTCACATTTGCTACGTTTGTTTAAAATCTTTCTTTCTGGAAACGTACAGTATCTTCAGTCACCATTCCTCAATTTAAATCAGTTAGTTAATACACTTACGAATCCTTTGTGAAGGACTCATCTGCATTGTGGTATTTATCCTCTTTAATGGTAATTCACTTCTTTGGGTGTATAATAAATAACATGATACGTAATAATATGTATTTTATTTACATAATGGTGAACAGAGTAGAGAATGAAAAATGTAACATAACAGTCTATTTGAAATATTGTTTTCTTATTACTAAAGTAAATTACAAGTATATAAAAGTTATTAGACTCCCTTTGCAAATATTGCATAACAAAGTTGACTTTGGTTTTTTATTCACAAGTGTTGTTTAAGAGGCATATCACATTAGAGTTTTTTAAGGGCATTTAATAAAATTTGCATTTCATGATGAATTCCATCCACCAAATTTTCAATTTGAGGCTTTGAATCCAAAATTTCAATACTTTGGGTGTAAGCATTGTATCGAACTCCAAATGGGCGAGGTATTGTATGTGCGTATTTTCTGGAATAGGAAATTAATGTATTAAAGTAAGTCATTTTATCATAGTCCTATAATAGACAATACATTCAACATTATTAAAAATACTTACATCATTTTCTCTTTTGCATTTTCAAAACTCTCAGCTACAAAATACACAGGCTGATACTCTGTAATTGGATATTTCTGCAAAGCAGTTTTGGCTGGTTCAAACGGCCTCAATTCTGGTTTATCGCTCAAGCAATATTGCAGCTCCCCAAATGAAGAAAGCAGACCAGCTCCATAAGCTTTGAGTTGTCCATCTTGCTTACAAAGACCATATTCTGCCGTAAACCAGAAGCACTGGAAATAAACAATATTGTCATGATTGTTGCGAAGAGCACTCTGTCATGCCTAAACAACCTAATCTATTAACTTCATGGCACATTAGCCATTTTGTACTAGTATGTTTGTAGTTCGAATGTAATAGTAATTTGTAGTAGAATGAATGTACATGTTCATTTTATAATGAAACAACTAGAAACAAGCTTTGAGATTTAAGCCGATTAATTAATATAATTTCAACCCTTAATCAATTAATTACAATTTCCACTTTCTTGTTTGAGAACTGTTCAGAGTTAAAGTAGGGTACACAGTACACCTTTAGAAAAGCGTAGTGGCGGGTGGGTGTCTCCTTAGGCCCTCCCTCTAATTACGCTACGCGCTTTGATAGAAATGAATAAAGCTTACGGATAGGCGATTTTCATGGCTCGCCCTTCATACGCTTTGCCCTCGCAGCATTGTTAACTTACGGATAGGCAATTTACTTTCAAAGGCAAGTTTTCTCGCTTCATTCTCCCGGATCCAAGTCACGGCGAGGCTCGGCCCTTCGGCCCTAGCATTCACCATAAACATCCTTGAGTCTATCTACCGCATAATCACCAATTCACTTTTTTACAAGAATGCACTTTTCAAGAAAGCCTCCAGAATTCAAACTATGTAGTTGCCGCCGGCGCGGCGCGAAGTGTCGGTTTAAACGACTTCTGTAAATTGTACCGTATACTAGACTTCAGCACTGTTCAGTTCACATATAGCAATTGTTAAACTGTTTCTCGATAGACAATGTGACGCCTCACTTCGTTCCAAATTCCCATCTGTGTTATAACTGCAGTTCTACGTGCTAGTATGCTACAATCTTCCACTCTTTTACAATATCACTTGCAGGTTCAGTTCCCGACTGGTTTCGTTATTTTCTGTGCGATAAAATATGAAAGATATCGTTTAAATTCTCATTTGCCTATATTATGCAACATTCAAGTAATGAGGCTCCTCAGTGGGTGAACGGATGGCTCATTGCACCTTCAACCGCCTAAACTGTGTGACACTAAGTTTGAGAATATTCGAAGAGTGGACTATCCACTTCGTACCAGCAACGTAAACGAATCCTAGCTGAGGCCCGGGGAAAGTGAATCCTCTGAATGCCATTGCCGCATTCCAACAACCCAAGGAAAATACCGGCTGAGGAATGGCTCAACTGATGTCACTACAGTGCCTCTGACTGGGAGGTCTTAGGGATTGAGTCCCAACGGTGGCAGGATTTTCGACACTAGCTACATAGCAGTACATCGCAGGTCGAATTTAGCCGCCGACTGGAGGAGAATTCTAGCGACCGGTTGGTCTGATCGGTGATTTTCCGTGGTTTCTCTGATATATACCAGGAAAATGTCAGAGGAATAACCCAACAGACAGGCCACGGACCGCGCGCTGAATTTCTTGGTCCTGTCCTCACCCCTCATTTACACCACTACACATGTCAGGAGACCAGTTGGGAGGTTCCAGCTTGCCCCAACTGGGGCGGTGCTCCACTGGTGGAAGATACTTGGTTGGGGAAAACCCCGCAAGCCAACGGGCAGGTCGTCGCCTGATCTCGCCCCCCAATGAGGGGAAAAACATCCCCACCTCCCGCGGTAAAACACTACCGCAACATACACTAGACTTGTGGGACTAATGGCACGCTCCCAGAAACACGAAATAATGGATCAGCCAAGAAACAATGAAATAAATCGTTGATGTGGCGACTATAGGAAATGCAAACAGGGTAGCATGCAACGTTGGGAGTCCGTAGGGTACCCAAGTATCCTCAGTAATGGGCCCCGTGATTGTTGTGAGCCGATTAATTATTGTCAAGTAAGCGAGCGACATAATGGAAAACGAAAGAATCTTGACATTATCAAAATAAGAAAGTTGACAAGCTTTTGACGCTACATGTGCGGTCACATCGCACAACTACCAAGAATAATAGTTGAAGAACCTATCACCTATCCCTTTCATGCACGAAAACTTCTCGTAAAACGAATTTAAGGAATTTGAAGTCCTACAATAATAGTTTTGTATACCAGCACTATAACCGACATTTTCTGTTGCAAGACATTGTTCATAATCGGGCATTTTACGGCACAAGTGATGACGTATTTAGCATGTACGGAGGCATGAATGATTGCGTCATCACTTATTCAGCCAATCGCAGCAAGAGAATCGTGGGGAAGTGGATGCAAACGGAACAGACGCCACCGTTTTCTCGCACAGGTGTCAAATACCCGAGACGTCACAAGAAAGTTGTTTCGCAAAATGAAGGTTGATTCTCTTATAAAGTTATAATGCTGTTATACAAGAAAATAGGGTATGCAACTAGTTTATATTGTTGCTTTATTGCATTCGTACAAATGTGAAAATTCGTCGCTCGTTTTCAAAACATATCATGCAATAAAACTTATCATTATAAACAAATTGCATAAACATTATTTTCAACTTGTGGAGAATAATATACAAGTTTTACTTACTGTTGCGAGTTTTTCTATGTAGTCGTCTGGTGCGCCCAGAGATGCCATTCCAATTTCTTGAGAAAATTGAGCAAATGCTGGGTCAGCAAAAAGGGGAACATGCCCCATAAGCTCATGACAGACATCAGGCTCTGGTGTGTACAACGGACTCTTGGAATGCCTTATATATTGCGTACAGTGAAATACTCTAAACGCTAACCCAGCCAAGAAATCTCGTGAAGACAATAGTCCAGCAACAGGTCGAAGAGAAAAACCTGTACTGTCTGTGAACAAAGAACAGTGATTTATTAGTAGAGTACAGTGGATTTTTTGGTAATAGATAATTAATATTTTAGTATTTGTAGACTCGTATAACATTTCTCTTTGAGGTAAAATAGAGATTATACAAAATTTCCTTCGGAACTCTTGAGTGTCACAATTGCATAAGACGTGTGTAATAGTCTGTTCTTGCGAAATTGTAAGCGCATCACGTAAATGAAGGAAAATGCGTTCTTTTTAGTGGCAAAACTTGCACTGACTGTACGCACGCGCCAACAGACCGTTAGTGCGGACACAACTTCGTAACAGAACTTTGATACCGAGGAATCGGCGAAGGTAATTCGTAGTGAGATAATTTTGCCATAAAAAAACTTGAAATATGCTTTTAAAATATGCATTTATGATCTAAAAATTCATAATTAATCACATTAATATGCAATTAAAATTAAAAATATTTCATTTCATGAATATACCTTTCTTGTTAAAATGTCAGAAAAAGTTTGCTTGGAAAGAAATTATATTTTTGTGCAAACATAATATAATCTACCTTTCTTTTTGGGAGAAATAATTGAAGTAAACATTCACCTTAGTGAAGTACATTGTATGTCTTGTTGCATTTCTTCTGACTGGTTTAAAAATATATCAAGAAATTTCCTACATATTCACAAATATTTTATCATCTATAGAAAAAAATTGGACTGATAAGCTATTTCTAATCAATAAACGCTCCCAAATAATAGATTATATGAGACGATGAAACATTTGGGAGATATGTCTGTATTTCAACGAAATATGCGCCTATAATGCATTATATGCACAAACAGGAAAAATGGCCAAATATGCACAAATATTCACTAACGTATTAATCTAATATCATCTAATTCTAACCAAATGTAAATAAATTTCTCTTAGCTATGCCCTGAAACAATAGAAAAAATAAACAAAATGAAAAAAATCCGTTCCGTTGTGAAATGTTTGGCATTCTCTGCGCGTCTCTCACCGTTTAATAATTTTGCCCGCATTTATGCGCCGGACATGTAAGGACCAGTTTCAACAACAAACATCTAACGAGACGTTAGTAAACAAGTCTGGATAATAAACGTTTCTGTTAAGATATGTTCCGTTTCACCGACGTTCCCGCGTCTTTGGTTAGTTAATCGCCCATTAACGTACATGGATGCAAAAATGCGTGAATACTTTCACATAGAAGGCAGTGAATTAAAGACCCTGTGGTGAATTGTGGTGAACATTTACTTTCTGAAGAAACAAGATTAGGCGTCCTTTTATTCAAAACGTTTCAAAACCTTTTATTCATTTCAATCTGATTAAAAAATTCACTTGCAAAGACTAAAAAAAAAAAAAAAAAAAAAAAAAAAAAAAAAAAAAAAAAAAAAAAAACAACAAATAATACTTTTAAAAGATGTTTAGTACTAAAACGTAATACGTCTGTTATCTGTTATATTTTACGCAATTCAACATACATTGCATTATAAAAGCAATGCAATACTATTCTTTGCTGAACAAATGAATAATGATGAACTAATACTTTAACGCAAGAACTTTTACAAAATATTGATATCACAAATGTGTTAAGTGAAGTTAGGCTCTTGCAAATTGCCAGCGCCCGAATCGAAAAAAAAATATTTCGGATTAAAGTTGCCACATTCTGCTGCAAGATAAAAATCGGCAATAAAACGTGAAGGTTCCCATATAAAACTTCAAAGTTGTAGAGTTTTCTCCATTTTTTATTGTTCGGATTTCTACCAAAAGTACCTAACCAGGTACCCACTTGTTCTACCGGAGTAGAAATCGCCCGTTAACTTTAACGATAGTTTAGTGAGCCTTTAAGGTGGGTGAAATACAACTTTTCTTTAATGGAACGTTAACAGATCCCTTAATGTGTTAACAAGCGTTAGCGAAATCAGCCCTTCATGTCACATGTTTTACCCTTTTAATATATTATCGTTTTCAAGCACGTTAATGCGGACACTGTATTCTATAGTAAGGTAGTGATTCATAATCCTTTGACTCTTAGTACTGCCAGTATAATCTTCCTTTAATTATTAAATGGCGGCGATTTCCAAATTTCTTTTCACGAAAATTGTTCATTGTGAATATCAGAAGTCCCACCTCGGGTGTCGTAAAAAAAATTGAACCACTTTATGAATGTGTCAAATAACGTCCGTTGGAAGAGAAGTTACTAACATTATCCTTACCTCTAAGGAAATTAGATACATCTTCTAGTTGGGGAATATTATCTTCTCTGAAACCACAGTTTTCAATTAGTAAGGGAAATACGTGGTTGTACTCTCGGCAGGCGTGTGTTGGGTACAGTTTTGTCAGCTCTCTGAAAACGTGTCCCCACGTTCCTATTTCCTCTTCCGTGTAATCCACGTGTGGAAGAGGCTCGCCACTAAAAGGAAAAATGTTTGAATTATGTACACGTTTAATGCAGTTGTTAAAATATTTTTAACATTTCTACATTTTAAGTTGGAAAATTAATTGAAATTTGCTTTGAATGAACATTGAATATTCAAATTAAATCTCGAATAAACAGTTGGCATAGTATGTTGCAGTATGGAATATTAAAAATGATTTTTTTCGTTTGTTAATTATGTGCGAACGTACATGTTCCTCTCCTTTTGAAGTATGAATATGTTTTTAGCAAACAGATGAAATACTATTTCAAACTGTTTAATTACACATAGGGGTGACATCGATTTGCTGTTTTTCATTTAAATCGTTCTAAACTATTGAAGTATGGCTATACTATAAATGTTTACTTACTGCTTATAATTGTAAGCGATGTCAGCGAAGTATTTCCTTCTTGCTCTGTACACAGGGTCAGTGAATCCAGGGTGGTCAGAATCAAGTTCTGCTCCATAGGACAAAATTTGATTTGCAAACTTATCCAAGTCACGTATGCGACGGGGGAACCAGGGTACCGTACCTATAAGAGTTAATGAATACACCAAATACATAAAAATTCTAAATCAATAAACTAATGAATAATGAAAATAAAAATTGATAAACAAAAATAGTGTTAATGTTTTGGGTTTAAATTTCCCAATAAAATCAAAATGTGATTCCCAGTAGTGAACTCCTATTTTTACAGCAGTAGTAATAATGAGTAATGTTCTATCCAGAAAATCTATATAGATATAGAAATATTAGTTTATTATTCTTATGTAATAGTTTATATCTTACCTCGATTATCCTTGTGATTTCTTGAGATGATTTTGAAATATGAAGAATTTTTTTGAAGGTTTTCCACTGCTGCCCCTAAATTTCCGTTGGGGGCGCACTCCACCATAAATTCGTATCGGTTAGGAAGTCGAGATGACGACCGAGATTCTATGTGCAAGAGGTTTACCGAATGCTCCTGCAAGCAACAATAAATTTTAATTTCATCTGATATGAACGATACGCTATTTGTTGTTTTTAAATGAAAAGTAATCACAATGAAATTGTTCAATACTCTTATCAAGGGAAAGTAGGGTAGAAATCTAATCCATAAGGGACATTAACCAATTTAAAATGAATTTATTTCAGTTCATTTACTGTGAGCATGAGAATTACTTTTAAGAACGTGATACATTCCTTAAACACTCCTATATAATCTTTTATGCATTGAAATATGCATAGAATTAAATTCAGAAGCCACTTACTTCGAACATTTTGAGAGAGCGAGCAAGGGCTCCAACTTCATCTTCCTCTCGCGGTGAGAAAATTAGACAGGTACTCTTGGCCGAATCACGACCTTCTTTAATGTAGTTTCCTCCCTTCATTAGGATGGGCTGAAATCAAAAACAAAAACGCAATTAGCACTAGACTCTGTGATGTACTCACAGACATCGGAGACCCCGCTGACATCTTTACTGTTACTCCATTGTAGTACGTCTGAAACTATTAGTTTGCAGAACAGTACTTCAACATTTTTACGATTTTGCCATAACCCTTCGTAATACCTTAGCAATATCCATTTTCTGTAAGTAATCGCTAATTTCTCATAAGAAATTCCAAAAATACACACTCTCAACTTTTCTTATATAATGATGTAGAAATGATTTTTTTTGAGGGAATGTTATTTCAAATCTGTCAAAATTTGATTATTTTACAGTTTGATTAAACTTTGAAAAAGAGTAACGTTGATAACATTTGCAATAAAATATTTCTTGAAATATTACCGGAAGAGTGGATTATGAGACACTTCTAGTGTGCATGTCTGATATTTGTTTAGGAGGCTAAATAAGAATTAACTCAAACCGTTTCCGTTTCGATAACATTCAGCCCGAATTGGGATATAATATTTAGCTGGTTACATGTTCGTTTAGGCTGCATATACATTAGAAACACAATTTAAATAGTTCTGATGAACAATGATGGCTTTAATTCTCCTTTTTTGAATGATTGTTAAGGTAGCTTGATGTCAAATAATTCCATAGTTGAGTTAAAGAAGAACACGTAATTTGTATTGCATGCCATGGACACGACATTATTTTTGTGAAAGAGTGGCACGCGCTGAAGAAAATAAAATTTCGACATAATTGCCAATAGAGTGAAAATATATTATTTTATTAAACAATAAATATATAATTTATGAAAGAAGGCAAAATACCATATGATTTCTGCAATATTGTTTTTATTATGTCAAAACTTAACAAATTATCTTTATTCACTGTTTCCAGTACTATCACGTAACTCATACGAACTAAGAATAAACATAAAAATAAATATGTCGTAAAATATATAGATCTTGCCAAATTGTCGCGTTTTCTTGTAACAAATGAAAATAATAAATAAATATTTTGAACAGTTTTAACAGCTAAAATCAGTTTTGATTCAGGAGACGGTCCAGGTACTTTGCTACGTCTCCCCAGATCTTCCAAAGTATATATAATTCCCAAATATCGTAGTATACATGAGAATGAGAAAATATTAGTTTTTGTTGAATCCAGTTTAATCCTAAAATTCTATAAGACAATTCCATAAATATGTAGTGCGCATTTGCCACATACTGTTAAATTGATTGATAATCACACACAATTATTATTACATGTATTTAAAAACGTCACAGTTGCGCGCAAAACGAATAACATGAAGAAGAATGTGAAAAACAAACGTAATTAAAAATGAAAAAATAAAAAAATGTAGTATTTGAACTCACATCAATGTACTCGTATTCTCCCAGAGGGTCCTCCGTAATGTCAGCGATACCCATGGCGCGACCGTCGGCGCCGACGACCAACAGTTGCAACTCTCGATGCGTCCTCTCCCAACAATCGCGGCGTAGTATAGCGTGTGTCGAGTCAGCCGCGAGTTTATAAGAGAGCGCGAGTGCGCGCGGGCCCTGGACGCATGCCGCTTTCCTCGTGCCCCCCCCCCCTG